AATGGTTGCTGTAATGTCTTCAAAAGGATAAAGGATAAAGCATTTGCCGTTGATCAATCCCTTTTTGGGATGCGGCACGCATTCTACTTCCATTTGTACATTCGTAGTGGCGTTTGAATGCGATGTGGCCTATACAATGACTTGCGGGGGCCAGCCGATGTACAAGTCAGTGTTTTTATCCTCCCAGACAAGTCTGGTACCAATTAACCGACCCCGGAGGGATGGAAGGCTTGGTTGGCCCGGGCGACTCACGACCCAGGATTTGATCCCCGGACCGCTCGCGTGGTAAGCGCGCCACTTGCCACTACACCACTTCCGCCCTTAATATAAAATAATATAAAGACATTGCACCAACCATATTTACGCATCTCGAAATAAGCGAAATAAACATATATATGAATAAGCTAACCGATTTAAATATACGTTTGATAATCGAAAACTGCTTCAGATGTGAAGATCCCCACTGCCCTGCTGTTAAAGGTGCGGAACAAATGTTAACTCCAGATGCGTTCGCTAGACAACCAGTCAGGTAAATCGTTCATATTTTTTCTTCACTACTCGATTTCTATGTTTGCTGTGCGCAGGTGGCGTAGGACCCAGATGAGCTCGTTACGCAGGCTGAAACAGAAATGGAAGTCGCTCAGTTGTAAATCAAATTCACGACAGTATCCATCATCATCTCTCACCCACCTATATTCGCAATGAAAATTCATCCTCACTCATATTGAGACAGGAATGGCAAGAGATCAATATTAACACGGCTCTCACATAGTGCTACCACTCAAGATTTGCCGGATAGGTTGCTCTAGAATTCTCGTACAGAAAAGCCCTAGATGTTGGCCCCGAAATTGCCCCAATTTGATTAAAACCGAATCGACCACAACAACCACAGCTTAACAAGAAATAACGAAATGTGCCTCCACCAGCATCTAGCCCGATTCGTCCATTGTGGCTATAAGCTATGCGTCTAATTGCCGCAGCTTACTAATTATGGGGACGAATCTTCGACACCAACCGTAATCCTTAGGTGTCTTCATAAAACAAGGTCGCGTTTTTTCAACCGAAAAGTTTATCTGAATTCGCGACGCTCTTGACATGATTCCGTACACCATTCGAAAGAGAATGTGCTCTACAAAGATGCTGTGTTTCTCTCCACGAGGTGCGACTGCATGCTGGAATAGACTATCAAGTTCCATGGTTTTCAAATTTTAGGCCTGCGAAATGGGAGGTCCAGCCGACAAAAATTGACCAAACCGACAACTATCTCTAACTTTATCTTCCCTTGGAGAGAAATCAATCAATACTGTACCCTCTACTTATGCATGACCTCTTCTAAACATTACACTATTAGGTTTCCCAACAAGTCGCGTCATTCCATTTCCAGACCTGGTTTTTCAACCAGAACTCGACGGTCGAGCACCATTACCTGAGATCGAGGTCGAAATTTTTTTATAGCCGAGACATTGAAAAACTAGTAGAATTTAAAGAACAAGTCATGACTAAGTTAGGAATGTACGCCTGGTTGATTTTCTCATCTTCTCAAGGATAATTTTTTCAAAGAAATGCGGTCACTTTCGTGGATACAGCACCTTACTCCCAAACACTCTAAAATTCGAGCATATTCCTAACAAACAAACAATCCAAACAAATGATGAAACAAATAGAAGCAGAAAGTTATGCTCACAAAGACCGATGAGCACAGTTTGCCTAAAGCAGACGCGCGAGATGGAAGAGAGTTCAATTAGAAAAATGGATGAGAGATTATCAGTCGGAACGAATATCAAAGAAACGTGCACACGTTTTTCGGCAAACGCTATAAGAGGGTGGCAAATTGTCGAGAGGCCAGAGGTCATAGAAGCAAAAGTAGAGGGTACGTCATTGATTGATTTTCCGCAGGGAACATAAAGTTAGAGCTAGTTGTCGGTTTGGTCAATTTTTGTCGGCGGGACCTCCCATTTCACAGGCCTAAAATTTGAAAACCATGGAACATAGATGGAAGAAGAACACAACATCTTGTAGAGCAGACAATTCTCTTTCGAATGGTATATGACTCGATGTAAAAGCATGGGATTTTAGATGAAAATTTTTTGGTTGAAAAAAAGCGACACTATTTATGAGACAACCTAATATTATAGCTTCGCAAAAATTTCTCGCGATTATGTGGCTTTAATTGTACTCGCCTTTGAAATCACCTCCTCAAGCGATCTGCTAACTTCACATTATCATTTGAAGGCGTTTCTCCCTCTATCTAAATGTATTGTCCGCATCTAAGTAGGAATGCCGCTTCTTTCAAAGCCGTAACGTACCATCTGCTAAACAGGAGTTTCCGCTTGGGCGTGAACTGCTTCCTATTCCTGATGCATGCGTTGATAGGGCGCGCCTACATTTGACAACATTAATGTTACATTACACATAATTCTGAGAAAAAGCTACTTAAATGAGCGTACTTCAGAGCACAGCACCCCTCAAAGTCAAGGCGCACACCAACTGTTGTATTCTTCCCCGTGCAACACCCTCAACAAACCACGGGAAGCCGCCCCGAGTCTACGCGTCTTGACAGCTCACCCGCGAAATTTTAACAAAAAGATGGTTTTCTTGTCCTTCGGATTCATTTAGTCACAATAAACAAAAACAAAACAACAAACGACCTTCTTTTTGTTTTCGAAAGGGAGGATCTTAAACTACCAATTCATAGAGGACATAGAGCAGGGCGATCTCTGTGCACCACTCCTTCAAAAACTTTCTGTGCAAACAATGACCCACGAAGAGCCTTATAAAACCTAAGCTTGAATTTAGCGCATCCTGCCACTAATACTCACATTATTGTGCTTTTTCCTTATCAATCACAGATAGATTCTATACAGTTAAACAGTTCCAGTTATCAAGAAATGTTTCGTATGCGTAACCGGGAGTACGGTACTTCACCGGCAAACAGCCCAGCTGGCTCGCTGGAGGATCGTTCATTTACCTTTTCCAATATGAAAAGGGCTGACGGCGCGAGGGCCAACAGCACATGGTAAGTACGACCTTTTACTGAAGCATAATCACTTCACAATATTGCGCTACATTTTTGATTTTGCCCATAAAATGGCGGCAACCAGACGCATGTCGGATTAATAATGGTGAAATAACATTACCCGAGCCGTTTTCTGGGTTCTCCCCTCAATTGTTCTCACAAGGGAAGAGGCTTGGACCAATTTTACTCTTCCTATCGATCCAGAAATATCCTTTCCCTTTCGCTATGATGATGAGAAGCTTTGCGTAGCCGAGCGCTTCACAACCGCGCGCGCCCTTTCTTAACCATCTCGGACTAACGTTTAAGCTACTTTTAAGCTATGCCATATCACAGAGTTCAGAAAAAAATGCGGCATTGATAGATTCTTGGCTTTCCCCCCCCCCCCCCCCCGACAACGGGTGTTCAAAATATGATAATTAGACAAAAAGCTTATAAGCCTTTTTTAGTACGGCTTCGGGTTATGGACAAGGCACGACTCTCACTTCAATAAACCGTCAGACTAGTTCGGTACATGATCACATGTGCCTCATGCTGAATGCGCCAAAGGCGCTGATTCGTGCTCAGTCCGACGAGCATCTTCGATCGCCCATCGCTGAAGAGAACAAAAAGGTAACTCTTTGGTCTCCTTCTCGATTGTTTTTTTTTCGATTCCAGGCCTAAAGTGTGAAACCTCGCCTTTTGCCTTAACAGCACAGTTTTCAATCTGAAGTCCATACCCCGCATCGCCTTTGTGTAGTTTATTCTAACCACATACAAGCTTCGAAAACGATAGCATTTT